TGTACTTTTCCCTATTAACTAATTTGATTTGAAGTTGTAGTTCAATTTTTCTTAAGCTTTGTTCTAGTTGTTCTAATGTTTCACACGTTTCGGACAAAACCCTGTCACAAAATTCAGGTCGTAGACCTTGTATAATGTATTGACCTATCCGTTTCTCTGACATTTCGGGGTCATGACGTTTACATAGTGTTAGTACTTCTAAGTAATACGTCAGCACCGGCTGATCCTGCCCTTGTACTTTTTTATCCAAAATGTTTTGCAGTGTTTGTGCTTGCGCAACGGGTGTAAATGTACTTATAAAGGTGTTTTTAAGTTCATCCCAACTATTAATTAGTCTCCCTTTCATGTAGTGTTGGTACCAAGTGAGTGCAGTTCCCGCTAAGTGGGCTGGGAATAAATTTAATTTTGACGTTTCCTGCCAATTGTTTGATTGAGCTGCGATTTCGTATTTGTCTATGAAATCGCTGGGATTTTCCGTGACTAGACCGTGGTATGTACCAGCAGAAATTAATGGTAAATTTTCTTTGGGTTGAGTCATGTTGTTTGCTAAAGGTGGCTGATTTACGTAACAAACCGTATTGTTTAAGGGTTGTGGTAAATGTACGTTTAAAGGTGTGCCGGCTAATTGGATCTCTCCTAAGTCCTCTGATGCTATGTCAATGTCCTCGTAATTTTCGTCCTCCTCACTGTCACTAGCTGGTGTGTCATACAAGTTTTCCCTATCACTGATGAATTTGTGAATGCGATTCAATAAAGGGTGTTTTAACAGTTCAGCTTCCGAAAGACATCTTTTACTTAAAAGTTTCTTCAAAATAAACTTTTTCTCTTCAGACCAATTATTTTTTACAAAAGCTTTAAGGTCAGCTACAATGGGTCTCAATTCCGCTACAAGGTCCTCATCCCTATATTTTATGTTAAACTTTGACAAAATAATCTGTAATTGCTCCTTTTTAACCCTATATATGTCTGGGGGTAGATCAACTTCTGTTAATGGCATTTCATTTTTTATGTTTAAAAAAATTGTTAACAGAGTATGTTATTTATGATTAGTTACTTGACTGCAATTTAATTAAAACTAAATGTGTATTTTTTTTGTCACTACTGTATTTATATTTTTTATACTATTTACGGTTTGTGTAAATTGCCTATTAGATCGTTTAAAGTTCCCTAAGGTATTTTATGTGTTGAACCACTATAACCTGACAAAGTCTTAACTTAATCTAAGCATATAAACGGTTTTGTCGCATTGCTAATTCAAAAATCAATGCTATGCTATTGTGCAATTGTCTCTCTCTTAAAACATATTAATCATACAACACTTATTTTATCATGCATAAGTCATCTGTGCCAGTCCAATCATTGTTGATAATTAAATCAAATTGGCAGCCTCCACCATGTAAACTTATGGGGTTTTCATTTACTTCAAATGTGAAAATATGAAATTACTACTACTAAGCTCAGTATACTCGCTTGGCATATGTGAGAATACTCAGGAACTGATTGAACTGACACCATTGTATGAGTTACTAAATTTTATTTAATTATTTAGTCTAATGTATGTAACCCTTTAAAACACATTATATATATATATATATATATATATGATGATCAATAAACCAAATTACGTATTAACCAAAGGAATTAAACATTTTTGGGGCCCCAGTATTAAAAGAGAATTAAACACATATATAAGTTTGAAAGTGATAGATATAATATAATTCTTAAACGACTCAATCTTATTTAATTAAACCCTTTTACATAAAAATTATAGGTATTCATAAAATGTTATTAATCTACATCTTTGCCATTTGGCCAAAGTCCAGTTCACAAAACTTAAAACACAATGCTAATATGAAATTCTGAAATTAACACACTTTACAAACAAAGAATATTTACATTAGCAACCTACCAAAAATACACGTTTGAAAATAATATATAAAATGAGAACTAACTTATATAAAATACATTATTTTACAGGTTTAACCTTTAAGGCTATATTGTTGTTGTTTTTATTCAGCATGAAATTATTTATTCATAAGTATTTATGATTTATATAATCGATTTATTTAGGTTTTTATTTTGATTTTTAGTTAGGTTTAATTTGAATGAATTGTAGTTATTAAACTTAGGCCCTTTTTTTATAATTTTATTTTATCTTCTTTCTTCTAAATTTTAGTCCTGGAAGTTATAATTGAATTTTGGAACATACCGATGAGATGATCTTGAGGGTAGAAGATTCCCCGTGTCGTGGACGTCCAGGCCTCCCCTTGTCTCCGTTGGCGGATGACTCGGTGGTTGATCCTGGTCCTCGATGGCGGATGACGACCCCCTGGAACCTCTTCTCTCGGCGTGGGCTGAGTTGGTGAAGTAGTTTGGCCTAGGACGTATTCAGGTGGCAGATTTTACCAATCCTGATATAATTTGGGGCCTGCTCGATCCGACCCCGTCCTAAGCCTCGCAAATCTTCTTCCAGACTGATGCCATCTTGCTCCTCCTGTCCCTTCCTTTTTCCAGATTTCCCATCATTCTAATTAACCCCGCCTACAGTGTCCAATCATAGTTGATCCCTTTGGTGCTCAATGCTGTGATTGGCTGCCACTTCGATCAGCAGTTCACTGTAGACGTCAGGCTGTGCGTACATTGCCCGGGACCTTGAATATGATACTTGTAGACTCGTCGGTGCCATTCTACATGTCTCTTTGTATTAGAAAATTGTAATATTTGATTTACTTCGGATTTATATAATTGTTTTAAATGGGCCTAATACGAATTTTAAAAATATGAAGCATGAATGAAATTTTAGAATTTAATTAAAATATACATATGTTTACAACATCAATATCAAATTAATATTAAATTCTGATTGTGGAATCCTTAAGGAGATTTGGGTTTTCATTGATTCTTCTTTACTTCTTAGAATATTGTTGAACAATGAATTCGTTTAAAGCCAATAGGTTGTTCTCTTGTGTATTTCTTTAAATTGTAAAGTGATTTTCTGGTGATTTTAATTCACAAGGACTGAATCCTGCATAGAAGGATTGAAGATGATTCTAACTATTTAAATTTTCATTAAAACACAAACAAGATGATGAACATATATTACTAGTAGGCCAACGTTGTAAAAACGCCTCAAACAACAGATATTGCAGGAGTGTTGCCAATTATTATTTTAAAAAAGATTCCATAAGATCGTGCATATACAAATTATTTAGTTTCCTACTCTAAATGATGAGAGAACCTTATTGAAAAAAAAGTTTTTATCTTAATGTCAACCAAACGCTTAAGTAAAACCTTTTTGACCTATTTTGCAAAGACCAAACAATAGAAACAAGATGAGAATAATATTGATGTTACGATACAAATATATACAACTGTACAACATACAGCAATTTACTAAAATAGCATAGGTTTTAAAATGGAAAACAATAGTATAATTTATATACACATTGGGAAAAATGTTGAATGATTATATCAAGACACCTTTAAAATTTTTAGTTAGAAATCTTTTTACTTGGTACTCCAATTTGCAAACAATAAATAATTACGTTTTTTTGTGTTTGGCTTAAATAGCACCACTATTATAGTGTACAACATTATAAAGTAATGCTGTGGTAAATGGTAAATATATTGTCGTTTTGTAGGGATCAACCCTAAGCCAGAAAATGTCTCCAATGATACATCACTGTTTAAACTAGACGTCTAGAAATGTGGGACGAAATGTTTAAAAAAAAAGTACCACAAATTATTTAGACTATATTTCTTACTATATTCACTGACTCAAAAAAATAAGTTATTTCACAATTGATTAACTATCATAAAAATCGAAATGTAATTGTTTGAAAGTGCATACGAGGTAAGAGTTTAAAGTGAAAGTTTTGTCAAAGTCAAGACATTGTTAAACCATAGAAATCATAACTGAGATTAGGTTTTTAAAGTATTAGATGGACATTTTGTTCGAAACATCTATAAAGTTTACCTAACTAATATAGAAATCAGTCGTGAAGTTCAAATTTAATAGTACAAAGGACAAATTGTATTTTAAACAACATTATGAACTTAAGTGAGTACGCCTAAAGGTTGTTCAAAAATTAATACAACTGTTTTAGGGGATAAAGAAGATACAATCATATGCGAAATAAATGTTAACTACGAGAAACCCATTGTTTGCCAAAACAAAACGGATGAATTTTTTTAAGCATAACTGTGCCATACAAACTTGTGCAACGAATGTAGACTTATCAATGTTTTGTGCTTGTTTTAATTTATTTGGTGACGAAACCACCCGGCCGGCTAAAACTTTACACCACATATTAGCTAAGGATGGCGTTGTATCGCCAATACATGCGTCGAACGTATTAAAAATAACTAATCCGACAGGTTAATACATGTAAGTAATAAGTTATCAGTTGCAGACTAGAAGTTTTGTTTTAAAAAATTAAATAATAAAAATCGTAACCGTCTAAACCCATTTAAACATGAATTACAGTCCTTAGGTCCTAGGTGTATTGGGGACCAGCTGGTCTAGTTTAGATCGTGGGACTTCGGTCCACGAGGCACTGGGTTCAAAACCTACCGATCACAAGTGGATATAATCTATGTGATAATGCCACAACCAACTAGACCTAGTCCTAAAGTAATGTGGTAGATGGTCTACCGTCCTGGGATTTAAAGGTAAACATTTAATACATCGAAAAACATAATTTCCCAAAAACATTTTCTGTTTTCAAACCAGACCGTTACAACAAAGGCTCAGCACTGACGTGCAGACGTCGGCGGATAGAAAAACAAATGAGGAGACAAGTAACACAAAATCAATCGCACATCACCAGAGAAAAGTACCCGTTCGCATGTCATGCACACTACAAAACAGTTCCGTTTTTATGAAATCCGCCTGCGCTAGTAAACCGAGGGGTTTGTGGGCCCACTCAAGGCGCCATCGACCAGAGAGCGTATCACAAAGCGGATATATGGGTGGTTTTTTACTGAGTGTTGGTCCGACAGTCACGCAGTCTTGTTGATGTAGTGAGTAGAAGAGGGTCTCTGGGCTCCACGCCCTAGGGTGGGGCTCCAGGAGATGGGAGATGATGACCCACGCTGGGAGTGTGGGAGGTAAGTGGAGTGCGAGATGAGTAGAGGTAGATGTGGGATGTGAGTGGAGTGGGGAAGTGCGTTAAGTGGAGAGTACGAGCGAGGTGTAGAGATGTAATGCACATACCTGTTGGTGTTGAGTGAAGGTGGGGACTTGGAAATCAAGTAAGTGGAGTGGGAAATGAGTAGAGTAGATACCTAGGAGTTGAGTGAGTGGAAGTAGTAGAGTGGAGAGTACGAGAGATGCGATGGAGAGATGTAACACATACCTTGGTCACAAGCTAGGGCGGGAGTTCCAGGAGATGGAAAGTATAAGTGAGGAGAGTGGAGTGGGAGAAGACGAGTGTGCATTTAAGAGTACAAGAAAGTGGCAGAGTGTAGAGATGCTATAGACAGACCATGGTCAATAGCAAGAATCCCAGGAGAAGGAAATTCATCAAAATTGGTTCTGAAAGGGTTCCAGGTAAGTAGGGGGAGGTGTCTGGAGTGGATTTCTTTGAGTAGACTATAAGAGAGTGGATTGGGGAATTGACTATAGTAAGGACCTGTGTGAGTGTCAAGTGATGACGAGGAGGGGAGTTGACAATCCTCGCCTTGGCTTGCTTTAAGGGCTCTGCCTTCATTCCTCTACGGTGTAGTTGCTTATACATACATAAAGTATGGACCCCTTAGATCATTCACCCATAAAATGATAAATCCAGGAACTACATGTTTTTGCTTTTTTAAATTTCTTCTCCAAAGGAGGTGGTGTGGTTTTTGTCAAAATTGTCGAGTTTTCAGCTTTAGGTGGTGATATTTGACCTGTGTGTGTATTTGCACAGAGCTGCAGAACACCGGTGTGTGGGTACTAATCCATGGTATCTCCAGGGGGGGGGGAGTTCATTTTTTATGCGGATTTCCCTATAAACAACGGGAAATTGTATTTTCACAAAAGAGATCGAACAATTTAGATTAAAATTGAATTTTACAGTCCTTTTAGCTCTAAACAAACTGCAACCCCCCATTGCTGTAAAAATTAAAAATATATGCCCTTATGATTTCACAATAAATTATCATACTTACTTTCAGGGTAAGGGTTGTTGAAAGGCTAATGGGAGAAAATATGTGTCAGAAGTTGATACAGTTCACAAACAAATGCAATGTAGTAATCAAGGACTGATTACCGTTACTCGTTAAAAATGTCGTGTTAAAGACATATCAAAAGTAACTTCGCCAAAATAAAACAGTTTAATTCCAACTTTATTTTAAACGGACGTGGTGAGGATAATTTTCCGGCAACGCAGGTAGTTTGCGACAATACAGGGGAGACAATCAAAGGCGTTTAACGTAGCAATTACCCATGATGCCCTGCGGCGCCGGCGGCGCGTTGGCGGGTGATAAATCTTGGTGGTCGTTGGCGGAGGGTAAAAAGCGATAGCAATTTTGCGTTACGGTGGTGCAGTGATGAATATGAAAGGGATGAAAAATATTACTCCGACCACGATGTAAGTATGAAATTAGTCTCGATTCGGGTTACGTTCTAATTTACAGCTGGTTGGTACCTCACTTAAGGGTAAACTGATTAATAATTTTAAAATGATAATGTATCTTTTTATTAATTGATATTTTTGTTTAATTCTTTGGAGTCATTTGTTGATTTTCATAGCTTACCCATGCTACTACAAATTTAATTTAACTTTGTGATTTGCAAATAATTTTACCGTTCAGCTATGTGTAAACGAATAGCCAACCTGACACACTTTCAGAAATTCAGCGCGTACCATGTAAAATAATCAGAGAACAGGGACTTTGATTGCTTACTTATAAACTTTGCTGGTTAGATTAAAAAAGAAGTTTTGGTATCATTAAAGAGAAATTTCACTGGAGTACTAAATTATTTTATATGTTTTAAATACATTAAAAAATACCTTGCTTGGCTATATATCATACACTTCTAATTTTATAAATATCTTCCCCTAAAGAAACAGTTTATTAATAATTGTAAAGCAATTACCTCTCTCCTAATGAGGCAATACAATATAGTTGAACTTGGTGACAAAAGGCCAACTAAAGATTAGCATACTTGGTGCTCCGGTTTCAAATAATGTTGTCATTGTTAAATAAATAAATAAATATTTAGTCTGGAAAAATACTACATAGTAGGGAGGAATTACACGAAAACATAGCACTTTACCAAAAAAATACAACAAAAATAAAATATTTCCCAAGGGACTTACAACAGTCACTCCAAACTTTAAACAGTCGAATAATAAACATCCAATGTTTTGTAACTTTTATAAGGAAAGTTAGGTATTTGTTTGGGTTGGTGAGTACCTATACAGCATACATTACAGTATTTGGAACCAATTTGCCCGCCTTGACTCTAGCCTAATGCACAATTTGCTTCAGTTACACAACATAAATAATAAATATCACAAAATTTATACACTATAATATTGCATATAATTAAGTTAAGGTAATTGGGTGCGAGCTGGTCTAGTGGTTAGAGCGCGGGAATTTAGTCCCCGAGGTCCCAGGTTCAAATCCCGCCAATCACCATGGATTTTATCCATGTCATAATGCCGCAACCTCTAGGTCTAGTCTGAATTAATTTAAACAACGATTCCAGGCCTAGAGTCCTAGTGCCTAGAAGAGGACAAAGTCCTAAAACAACCTCAGTCTAGTAGGGGTTCAGCTCACTAGACTGGAAAACGACGAACGAACAAATGAGTCCTTGGATGTGAATATAGGACATAAAAATAAATGTTATAGTAAAAAATATATTTATTTTCCTAGATCAAGGGGGTAGGTAGTAAAACGTATAAAAATAGTCTAAATAATCCAAAATAGTATTCTCCTTGCCACACTAACCCTGAGGTCTTTTCACAACTTACGCATTTTAAAAGGGAAATTACTCTAGTATGGCTTTTGTACACATGTACATGCATGCACTGTAACAACAACGTGAACACTTATATTGCTAATAGCACATTTACTTTAGGGTGTCTTAATATGTGGATGAGCCTCGATAGCAAACCACCATTGATAGTCATTTTCAAACTCCCTTAATTTTTCCCTTAATCAAATGTTTTTGCACATCTCTATAGAAAGTCTATCTTGTTAAAAGTTCCAATTTAATAATCTTCATGAGATATTTGCTATCGAGATTTTACTTCATGTTTGTGCAGCCAAATGCATTGGGATAAAAAAGCTAATGTATTTACTTTTCAGAAAATATCCACTTGCTGTTTCCCACAAAGATAAAAATTATTCGTTAACTTTTGACACTGAAGAGGCTGACTTTCAAGTATTTTCCTCAACAAGATAGGGATAACAAGGAACAAAGGGCATTGTATGGTTGCTGTAGAGATTAAACCTGCCTTGGTCTCTGAGATAAACACAAACACTCGTCCTAACTCCAGCCTAGAAGTTGAATCTCTAATGTGAAGTTTTCAGCTTTGTAATGCAGTATTCTTGTTAGTATAAATTTAAAATCCTTCTTTACCTTCCAAAGTATTTGAATGTATTTGACAACTCAATGCGTTTGAACGAATGTGTATCTTTGTGGTAACTTAAGATTACCCTGGGGTCAGTTTTACTCAAAATTAGTTTTAGTGAATTTCCTATTTTGTGTTTGTATGTCCGTTTGCACGATAACTGGAGTAACAATCATTCGATTTTGGTACAATTTGGTGAAACGTGTAAAACTACAATTTATTCGGACGTGTTTACGAACCACATGATCGGACTATGGGAACACGGTTGTAGTCGGTAAAAATTGAGGTTTACAGTTTTCTACACCAAAAATAAAAAATATTATGCAATTTCTTCCAAAATGTTATGTAAAGCTGGATGGGGAATTCAGCTTATTGAATCATTGTTATACAACTAAAGGCTTTGCTGAAAACGCAAAAAAAACTTTACATTTTGAATTGGCACATTCTTTTATTAGAGAAAAGAAAACTGTTTTAATTTGCTTGTTTGTGAATATATTTTATTTGGATTTTGTAAAACTTATTGATTCTCAGGGAAAATATTTATCGTAATTGCAAAGAACAAGCATTGGCCACAGTAAACATATCATCTATATGGACGAGTTATATCAAGGGTTTCATACGATTTTTTGGTATTACTTTTTTATTTTATACTAATTTTTTTACACCACTACAGTTCCTGGAGACAAAAATTCGATAGTTGACCACAGGTTGTGCAAGATTAAAACTTATAAAATAATGGAGGTGGAATGTTGTTTTAAACTCAAAAACTGAATGCAACTTAGTAACTACTGTATTATAACTACCCGGTCATTCTTTACTTCGTAGAGGTGTATCCATTGTAAACCGTACGGTTATCAAGATGGATTATTTTTAATTAAGTACTGTAATTAACCAATTAATACAAAATTAATTTGCATTATAAAAACACACACGGTGGTTCATTTTAGATTCCACATTGAATTACCGAACCGATTTCTTCCCTTATGTGTTTCATCCAATAAAACTGTCGTGACGAAAATATTACCGTCACTCCGAATATTTCTGAAGGCAAACATGTGACGTGGCCATGCGATCGGAGACTTAAATCTCGAGAAAAGTGGCGAATGTGTCACCTGTGAGGCCAAGTCATGCAACAGTGTGACTCAGGCAGTTGGTAATATTTCAGCGTTCTGATCGGTCAAATATTGCCTCTGGAGGAAACAGATTAACTAAGCAACTCTTAGACATATTCTGTAAGTTTTCATATAATAGTTGTACTAACAAGCAATGCTCGCGCTGTAGTGAAAGAATTAGCTGTATTATGATTTCATAGCAACATAATAAATCGTTTTTAGAGTTTCGTGGTCTTTTCGAATAGGGGAACGTAGCTGATGTACTGGTTAGAACAATGGGATTGTTAATTTGGAAACCACAACCACAAATTATCTACGCTTTGGGGCCAACCTTCAACAGTAGTCCACATTATATCGAAAATATATACTAGGTAGCTTAGGTTATGGTCCAACACATTGCTATGTATTAATTTCCTAATTCAATACGATGAAAATACAGATCGCAGTTTTAACCAGTAAGATTTAGCATAACCACTAATCGATTTATCATTCTTGTAAATAAATTGCAAACAAATTTAAGGCATCGATTTATGTCGTGTGTTGCTTACCACTTTTCAATAAGATGAATGAATAACTCCTTTTCACTAATAACGATCTAATTGTAACCATTCCTTTCCCATATAACCAAAACACAAAGGAATCTGCCAGATATACACAAAAAACTCAAAAATAAACGTTAATAAAATTCGATAGATCCAACCCAAGCTCAAATAAGTCGTCCCAGTTGTTTTCTGGTTAACCAGCCCACTGTTGTTATGTTTAAACCCTATTAATTGACCATCAATCTTGTGTTTTGTTCCAGTTTCAGCCAGCCCAGAGTCAGGTCCAGACTGGAGCGACTGATGGGCACGAGTGTGGTCCGTATCACGGATCGAAATTACATGCAGAAACTACAGACTCGTATACGAGAGGACCACGAGGAGAGTGTCAGGAAGAGAATCCACGATAGAGAGGTACCTGCATTTTTATTTATTTATTTATTGTTTGTAATGAACATAACTAAGTGCACGCTCATTCTTCCCGTATAAGCTATTCAAATTCTTAAATTCTGTAGACATCCCGGGGATCGATGCTAAAAACCAAGCTGCGCACGCATATGTATTGTTTCCATGCGTTCCTAGGTAAATATTAAGAAACGTTTGATAAATTTTGGAAGAAAATAATCAAAGAGTTTCAAAATAACTTTACATACGAGTTTAGACAGTTTTGAGTTAACTCATTGGCGTAGAGAAATGATTTTGGTATAATTATCTTTCATAAATCACGGGGTTTATACATTTTTCATTGAAATAGGAAAAATACAGCTTTCACGAGTAAGCATAGTTACAATTATAATTAAATTTTACATTAAAATAAGGTGATGCACTTCTTTGACACTTTTATGTACCATATTAATTAGATTTAAGGAATATTTCTAGCTCTTGGTTTACTTTCATAGGTTTGTCAAGAAAACTATCAATTTCCTTCGAGAACATTTCTACAAGAGGTTAACCCTAGAGTACTCCGCGAAATACTTTAATTGATTGTGACATGAAACAACAATATACCTAAGTAGACATTTAAATCACATTCCCAGCAAAAGTCATACTGGACCCATGTAGATATTAGGGAGAATTTAAATAAACAATTTGTAGAAAAGGGATAAACGAATTGATCCTCAAAGGGCGATTTATTGTGACGGGGAAGGTCAAAAACTGGTCGTTTTGGAAATTACATTTTAGTTAGCGATCTACATTAAGGGTGAATTTATTTTTAACAAAACATTTAAGTAATTTTAAACATAAACACAATGAATGTCAGATAACTGTTACCTACTTGTTGATACTTCTAAGGGTTTAGTTACGTCAATATTCCCAAACTAAACTAATCGTGGGAGAGAGACAAAGTAAATCGGTTTACTTTGACACCAACTATGACGTCACCGATATCTTTAAGCGTGGGGGAGGTTGGGAAAGGGGATGAAACAGTTCTGCCAACACGTCATTCGATTAAATTGACACTTCAGTTGTATCATGTCTTCATCTTGTTAATATGACTACTATCATTTTTCTGGCTATAATTTTTCAAGATGTTAGTGAAGTCATTCTATTAGTGAAATAAATGTCGGTTTAAAATTTAATCTACGAAGTAACTTACTTCATACACAAAAGTACTTTCTAGGACAAATAAGTAAATGTATTGATATCATTGAAAAAAAAAGTAAATTGACTAAATAGCAGGAGCGTACAGCGAGTCAGCTGTTATCTACCCATGTTTTACAAAACAAAGGACGTTAGTGAACTTGACATGTTTGATAAAGGTCCTGTGTTCTGAGTAAGCTCCCTACACCAGGTAAAGCCTGGAATCCAAGAACGCCCTGGTCAATAACTCACAACACGTGGAAAATATAAAAGGTTTTTCGAAGCAATATTAGTAAAGTATACCATACGTATGTTACATTTACATTGTAATTGTAATACTGCATTTTAATAATGAGCAAACTATATGGATTTTATGTTTTTTATTCCAAATGTTGATAGAATCAAAACCAATAGACATAATACGAAAAGATAAATCTATCATAGGATTGTGGGAACTTGAAAATATTTAGGAAAGCAATTAATTCATTATGAACTATATTCTCAACAGATTATGTTTAGATCGTTTAATGACTTAATTTCTAGAATTGATCATTATTGTGCGATTTAAATTTGCAATTAAAAACCGTCCTTTATTTAAAAAAAAATTCAAACTATTTCCCCAGTATTATTTTTTAGTTGAGAGCACAAAATGTGCAACATTTCACAACGGTAGTGATTTTTCAGAACACCAGTTTTCCTTCTCAATATAACCTCATTTAAATATGACCCTCTACCCATAAAGATAGACAGGAAAAATCGAGCCAATCGCTTTAGGAGCTTCAAGGTATGCCTGCAACAAGCACAAGGGTTATGGCAGACAGACATGCATAGGAATCTGATTTGCTTTTATTTATTTTCGTCTAAACTTTTCATAAATAATCCTAAAATACCCCTCAAATCCCCCTCCTCATCCTTCCTCAAATATTTCACGGTAGAGTTTAATTAAAACCCAACTGTACGAGAATGTAATAATTCTTTAAGGACGTTTAAGAAGTAATTAAATGTGCCTAGTATCGAAGTCAAATAATTTACCACATCTTTTAGTGTTAATATTGTAACGGATTGATTAAATATTGACACTTCTTAATTTCTTCATAGATATTGTCAGAGGGCTTTGCTCTAGGATTTCATAGGATTGTTCACGAATCAATAGATTTTAATATAAATTTAATTAAATAGTTCTTGGCTTTTGCCGTCAATGTCACCACGAAACACCCAGACAAGAATAGAGGTGGTCCATGGCTGGACAACTATGTGTCATCTTTCGGGGCCAATAGTTTTAAAAGCTTTCAATGCTGACATTGGAGGGATGAAATTGTTACGAATTCCTCATTTGAAAACAGAGTTCTTGCTTATGAAGTCATTGTATTATGTATTTAGAAAGATGTTCTACGATTCGGACGTTTAGTCGAAAACACCCACAATCTATCAGAAACACTGTCAGTTCCATTTCATAACAATAACTTATCCCAGGTTTCAGGTTCCCAAACATTCAACAATTCGTAACCAAAATACCCATCCAAACAGTTATGAAGACGTTCTATGATTGGATTACAAAAAGATTCAATCATGCCACCTAGCCTACTTATTTAAGTGTAGATTTCGAAAGTTTAATCACATATTGTCCTGTTAGGTCGGAGAGGTAGAACGAGAGAAACATCTGATTCTGGAAGGTAAGATGGCGGTGGAGGAGGCGCCGGAAGAACTTGCCAATCATCCTGTCTTCAAGATCACCCAGATGACCAACAAGATCCTGGAAGAACGACGACTACAGGTACTTCTATGTAAGGCACATGAATAGTGCAACAGCTCGATATAAGAAAGATTGCACCTTGTTTAAGGTAGAATACAAATTATACTTATGGGTTTTTCTGTTATAGCTCAGGATTTAAAAAGTATTATTGTGTATGATTGTGATTAACACGACATTTACTTGGGGTTTTCTTTTTTCAACACATTTTAATATGTAATATTTTTTAGGATACTTACTAAAGAACGGCGTTACAACAAAACCTATTTTATGAATTGATTATTGAGTTCTAGAAAACAAATATCATTAGAATATATAAATAAAACGACGGTGTATTTAAATCAGCTAGAGGTCTTACTATTAAGGAATGAGAAGTTATTATTCGAAATAAAATATATACATATTATGTTCGGTTAACGTAATTTTAATATACAGTATTCCATTTACAAACAGTTGTATTCTAAGTTGTTTTTGCCAACACACAACAAATTAAGTAAGTGTGCGATATAATATTCCAATAGTTTTAACAGACGAAAATTAATCATTTTTGTAATCTTAAAGAAATACAATGTCCTCTTAGTTCATATTTACCTCCTAGTGTATATCCTTCTCCATCCCCATCCTATCCACTAGAGACCTCTCCAACCCTCCTTCGCCTTCTAAACGACCTTCTGATCCTTCAACTTATGTAGATGCTACGTTACGTAATAAGGATCTTAACAGTGTGTTTTTAATTTTCAGTTATTAAAATGTAAACTCTAACAATATACATTATATTTCAGGCGGAAGCTAAGAGCATGAACAAGCTAATGAAGAAGCTGAAAAACTACGAACTTTCACTCCCAGAGAAGAAGGAGGAGGAAGAGACTGAGGTTGAGAAATGCATAGAGCTCGATGAAGAGGAGATAGCAAGGGCGAAGAAACTGCAGGAGATAGAAGAGAATATATCAGCTGGGGCGTTGTTCACACAGGAGGACTACGACAGGATAAAGTACGAGAACCCTCTGGTCAAACAGCTGAGGGATGTGGAGGTGAGAATGCCTCAACCTTTTTGGTTCATAGTCGAAAAGGAGGAAGACTGGTACAGAACGGAATGGAAACCAGTTGACTTGGTGATTTGGAGTTGAGGCACAACTAAGATGATTTATGATAGGAAAATGTAAGTAAATAATGGGCTAGAATTTTGAGGTATGAATGGACTAAGGTAATATATCATAAGAAGATCAGAGGGTGTAGAAAAAGACCATGGATATTAGTAGGTATAGGGATGTGGACTGTGAATGTTAGGATGTGATAACTAAGGTGATGAATGAAGACATTTTGAAGAAAAGGTCCTGTGCATTGTAGTTGAGGCACATGAGTTAGCTGGAGACGTAGTATTACTATTCAACCAGGAAATATTTTCTTCATGATAAAGATTATATTTTAATGACATATATTACTTACTTTTATAATTTAAAATAGGCATAGCAAGAACTATAGCAGAATTGGAAAAAATTGAGACACACAGAAAAGTGTTCTTGCACTTTTTAATGATGATGAGGTTTATCAAAAATTGTGAAAATTGTATTGAAAAATCCAACAAACAGTGCTGCTCTGTCGTTTAATTATAGGCTTATATTACCATATACAGCTTCTTACATACATATACTGCGTAATTTTTATGATTCAGCTACTTTTTCTTGTTTTCTGATGTTTCAGCAGTCTGTGGATGAACTGTACAAGTTGGCTGACCAGATTGTTGGACCGATAGAGGCCAAGAAGCGCTGACATGCGGCTCTCGGGGAACTTCCACCCCTTCCTGCTCCTCCTCCCCTCCCACCATCTGAAGAAGACCTCTCCAACCCTCCTTCACCTTCTAAACAACCTTCTGATCCTTCAACAAAAGTAGATGAAACGTGACATAATCATTCCACCCCTTCCTGCAACGTACCCCCTCCCACCATCTGAAGAAGACCTCTCGAACCCTCCTTCACCTTCTAAACAACCTTCTGATCCTTCAACAAAAGTAGATGAAACGTGACATAATCATTCAACCCCTTCCTGCAACGTACCCCCTCCCATCCACTGAAGACGACCTCTCCAACCCTCCTTCACCTTCTAAACAACCCTATGATCCTTCAACAAAAGTAGATGAAACGTGACATAATCATTCAAACCCTTCCTGCAACGTACCCCCTCCCATGCACTGAAGACGACCTCTCCAACCCTCCTTCACCTTCTAAACAACCTTCTGATCCTTCAAACAAAAGTAGATGAAACGTGACATAATCATTCAACCCCTTCCTGCAACGTACCCCCTCCCATCCACTGAAGACAACCTCTCCAACCCTCCTTCACCTTCTAAACAACCCTATGATCCTTCAACAAACGTAAATGAAACGTGACATAATCATTCCACCCCTTCCTGCAACGTACCCCCTCCCATCCACTGAAGACGACCTCTCCAACCCTCCTTCACCTTCTAAACAACCCTATGATCCTTCAACACACGTAGATGAAACGTGACATAATCATTCCATCCCTTCCTGCTCCTCCAACCGTCTCAATCACTGAATGTGACCCCTTCAATCCTCCTTCACCTTCTAAACAACTCTCTGATCCTTCAACAAACGTAGATGAAACGTGACATCATCATTCCACTCCTTTCTGCTCCTCCACCCCTCCCAATCACTGAAGGCGACCCCTTCAATCCTCCTTCACCTTCTAAACAACCTTCTGATCCTTAAACAAAAGTAGATGCTACATAAGAATGCCAATCTAGTTTCTAAATAGGAAAGTAGACGTACAGAAAATAGATACCTTACGTTAATTGTATAGTGTCTATATTTTTTATAGAAGCTCTTAGCCAGTGTTGTTAAAAGGTTTTGAATAGTTGAACGATATTGGATAGACTTTGTCTTATTCCACAGGGATAAAATATATCTAAGCTTAATTTGTAAGTACTTAAAACACTTGAACACGAATATTTGAACACTTATCATTATTTATTTGACAAACTAGATTAGTGTTAGTATTTATTTTTGAACAACTCAAACATTAATTATTATTTATGTATGACACTATAAATTTGTATGAAGCTTAATTTGTAATTCTTCAAACACTTAGGCACGAATATTTGAACACCATCATTATTTATTTGACAAATTGGAGTAGTGTTAGTATATATTTGAACAACTCAAATATATTCAATTATTTATGGCACTATACATTTTCTTAAAACTGTTCACTGTTTCGTAATCGATATGACTTTTGTTGGCGATTAATGGACTGAATACTGTTTGTGAGTAAAAATAACAGTCCTTAATCAGCATAAATTTGGAAAAAACTAACCAGGAATAGCCAATGTGGCTTCGAGGCAATGAAAGTGAACTATAATAATAATTTTGGTTGTAGTGCAATTATAACTGTAGACAACGAGTTTTATAACTAGCCATATCAGTTACATTTATGATCTTTCTTTATTACGTAATCTGTGTAAAAATTACTGTTAAAACAACAATGCAGGATCTAAAATGATCTTAATTACAAACACGTAAAAGGTAAACATTAAGTTACATGAAGTGTAATAACATCAGAAATCAGAAGGTAGTTTGTCTCTTGCACGCCATCTCGTTACATTTACAGTGCCATAAAATTTTCTACATGCGTTTTATGGTTATTGACAATGTCACAACCGTAAAAATATTCTGTACTGTATCACGTTAGAAAACACAGGTCCAAGAAACAAAACATAAGATTAAATATGAATGATCAAATTCACTTTTTGGCAGTATTATTATGCAATGCATATTGAATAAACAATGTAATTATAGATTTAAACTACTAACATTATTTACACATTCTGTATGAGTTTTATTTTAAAATTTTTGTTTAAAAAACGTGCATGAATACTCGTACAATGAAATTGAGCAACAAAGCATAACTAGATGTTTGTTAGGAAACAATTAAGTACACTCATTAGGTATCGTTAACTACTCCTAATACATTTTTAAAACGAAAGATATAATTTTTTTCGAAAACCTATTTTTATATGATTTAAACGAATTTGTACGAAACCATACTACCGGAATAGTGGGGGAGCTACGTATATCGAAACTGCAAATTGTGATAAGAAAACCCCTTTTGGTAAGAATGTAGGTTATGGTCCGACAACAAAAATAAGATGGGGAGGCATTTCCTAAAGTTGTTATAATCTAAAATGGCGGCCATTTTTCAAAATGGCTGCCCGTATTTTGTGTTATCTTAGTTATTCACTAATAAAAGCTTGAAAACGGCATTAACACTATTAAATATTGATATAATCTTAATTTGGAGATTCCGGCCTTTAATTTAATACCAAGTTTGTAATATATTACAATTATATCATGTCTATAATCTAAGGCTGAAAATATACTCGTTTTCAGCCAATTCTGAAGGTCACCAAAAGCTGTTTATTTAAGAGTTAAGTTATTCACCTACAACCTTTTATTTACAACGTGTTTTTTACATTTGCCTGCATCCATTTTGAGACATAAGGTAAATAAAAATACCCCCGCCGCAGCAAACCTGCAGACTAAGCGAATTTCCATTTGCCTTATTTGATTTTCAATTAAATCTATTTAAATAACATTAGGTTTTACGAGCACCTAGGTTTGCTGCTTACAGGGTAATAAAGTGTGTTTTTTACTAAAATATTAATAGCTTAGTATAAAATAAATGGATTGGGCAAGTTTAATCCAAATGTATGCATAAACAAGCAAACTACAACGGTTTACTTATCCTCCATAAGAATAACATGGGAATTTTTATTTACAATTTTCCCCGTAACCAATAACCATACAAAACACTTCAATATATAGAATTATTTGTTTTTTAAGCTCATTAAAATGGTTTAGAGAAAGTTTGGGAAATCTTATGTTTTGAGGTTCAAAAATAAGAAAAACCCATTTTTATCCCATAAATCCCCCCATAAAACCCCGTTCCCATGGTTTGATCATGCTGGTCCGCGAACTCGTTCAAATAAACGTAGGTTTACACGTTTGTACCAAATTTCATCGAAATTGGATCATTTTTGCTCGAGTTATCGTGCTAACGGATACACACGCACACACATATGTATATGAATTTGAACGGATGGTGTTTTTGGCTTCTAGGGACATCGAAATGAAAAAGTAAATCGGTCCCGGGACTAAGTCTTACCCTGAGACCTATGGTAATAGCTTATTCCCTATAGGGAAATTCGCTAATAATGTGAAATCACTGTAAAGAGAGTTTCCTCTTCTTCCTTGAGATATTTTACCACTTAAAATATAAGAGGATAAAAACGTCAACAAAATTATGGCACTTTCAATTATTTTTCTCAAAAAGGTTGGCAATGCTAAATAGACAAATATTGCCAACAGCTGATTCTACAGGTCATTGTTGTGTTTATTATTATGTGTCGCTCACGTTCTGAGTGTAGTTTTATTAGGAAAACCTGTACAAATTTTGGCCGTTACACCGGGCCTAACACGGTGCCAGTTCTAGGGGTTTTATTTTTTTCTGATTCGAGTGAATGAAGATTGGACTCTAAAAATGGCGAATCCTTTACAGTTAGTTCCTCAGAGTGACTTGGGTGGATATTAACCAAAAGTTGTTGATTCGATCATTTTTGTACTGTGCCAAAACAAAAGACAGATAATGATAGTTTGCTTTGTTCTGCAAATAATAAAAATGTAAATGCTTGCAGCAACGGATATGTAACGCTTGTCAAAAACTCCAGAACTTTGATGATAGAAATGGTTTACTCGCCGAAATTTATATAGATATAAATGTTTTCAATGAATATCTGTGTGGAATGAAATGAATCAGAAATACCCCCACCACAGCAAACCTGCAGACTAAGCGAATTTCCAATTGCCTGAGTTGATTTTCAACTAAACGAATTTAATTAGCATTAGGTTTGATGAGTACCTAGGCTTGCTGCTACAGGGAGAGTAAAAAAGTTCGAGTTTTTTTATTAAAATATTGATTACTTAGTATAAAATGAATAAATTTACCAAGTTCGATTAAAATGTATACATAAACAAGCAAACTACAACATTTTGTAACATTCTCCATAAGAATAACATGGGAATTTTAAAATAGCAATTTTTGGAACTTTATCAGTAACCAATAATTGTACAAAAACACTTTTATATACTAAATTATTTGTTTTTTTAAGCTCTTTGAAAAGGTCTGGAGAGGAATTGGGACATGTTGTGTTTAGAGGGTCAAAAATTGAAGAAACCAATTTTCACATCATAAAACCCCCCGTAAAACCCCGTTCCCATGGTCCGATCTTGCTGGTTCGCGAAAGCATTAAAGTTTATCCCGCCTTACACCTTCAAACCAAATTTCATCAAAATCGGACAAAAAATACTCAATTTATCGTGTTCACGGACACACACACACAAAATATATACATATACAAATTTGAACGAATGGTGTATTTGGCCTCTGGGGACATTAAAATGAAAATGTAAATCGATCTCGGGCCTAGGTCTTACCATGCCACCTACGGTAATAGCTACTTTCCCATAGGCAAAATAGCTAAAAATGGTGTTGGTGGAAATATTCTGCAACTTATAAAATATAGCGTGTTTTTATTTGGTGATACACATTTTCTGTAAATAAATTTACGTTTATTACCTAATTACTGACTTTATTTACTTAGCTAATACCTAAAAACCTAAAGATTTATCAGAAACACCATTTTTCATGATGTATATCAAAAGAAAATATATTAAACCCAAAATACGGGCAGCCATTTTGAAAAATCGCTGCCATTTTTACTATAGCAACTTTTGTCCGTGCCTCCCCATCTCATTTTCATTGCCCAACCTTACACTACATTCCCACCAAAGGGCATACTCTTATCACATTTTGCAGTTTTCTTATGGTTTTTTTACTGTAGCTCCCCCACTAGAACTGTAGATCTGTTTGTAGAATTATTGACTATACATTTTCAAATGGAAAATACACTAACTTTAGTGTACTATTGCACTGTCAATGCAAGTAATGCAGTAATATGTAAATAATATGTTGGTTCTCCACACTCACACATAACCGCATAAAAAGTAGTATTTAACATATTATGTTACATTGTACATTATAGATTTTATTCAGTCCAGCAATTAATATATATCCAAACCTATAGTTGCTAATTTAATTAAGTTATTTTCGGTATTTGTTAAATAAATGACTTTTTAATAATAGAGATTAAGGATTTATGGATGGTTATCAATGAAATGTGGAAATCTTTAACTTATTTAAACTAGGTAAGTTTTCTTTATGTTGTATATTAAACCTTACTTAATTATTGTGTTTTAATACTCCTATGATGTCCGGCAAAGATACGTTATTTCCAGTACAGGAAAAGTTAGCTGTGGAAATATTATATCTATTTTATTTTAGTGTTGGTAGATTTAACTAGTTCTTTAATTTTCAGAGATTTATTTGTTGTTATTAGTTATTTTATTTATTTATAATTGTATTAACTTTATGTTATCATTTAACTTTACGCTTGTCCTTGTTCTAGAGAAGGTCTAAGTGCACATAAATAATTTAATTATAAAAATTTTACAAAAAAAATCTGTGAGTTTTAAAATCTAAAGGTCTAAATATAATTATGACACTTCTGTTCGAATTGAATATTTTACAGAGTTTTTAAATTTTTTTATTGAGTATCTTCATCTCAAATTTCCAAGCAGAAAACTAAAAAATAACCTAAAACTGTATTTTAAAACTAATACTTCAATGGTCATATAAGCAACAGATGTACCCAGGTAGGTAGTTGACACCTTAGAATTACAAACTAGAAATAATTCATCTTTGAAACATTCGTTCTTATTAAATACAAAACTAACCGTTGAGTCACAAATACATTTAACAAAGCAGTTAGCACCTCCTTACATCATACTTAAAGGAAGAAAATTTCGTGAATAAATAACATCTTAAAATAAAGAGGTTACCGTAAAATTTCTCAGAAAGAAATACTTCACATCATTTAAAGTGCAACCAAATATTGTTGTTGCAGAAAATATGGTGTCAGTTGTGTAGAGTTACTGCTGCCAGACGACACCAGATCTAACTACATCTAGACATGAACGTTGCTAACCTAGACGACGACTGTACTAGACCTATGTACTGAGTCACCCAGTATTGTTGTGTAATAATGGTGTAAAATGTTAACTACAATTAGTGTAAAGTTACTGCTGCAAGACGACACAAAATCTAACTACATCTAGACATGAACGTTGCTAACCTAGACGGCGACTGCACTAGACCTATGTACTGAGTCACACAGTATTGTTGCTGTGTAATAATGGTGTAAAATGTTAACTACAATTAGTGTAAAGTTACTGCTACCAGACGACAAGACATCTAACTACATCTAGACATGAACGTGGCTAAACTAGACGGTGACTGCACTAGACCTATGTACTCAGTCACCCAGTATTGATATTGTGTAGTAATGGTGTAAAATGTTAACTACAATTATTGTAGAGTTACTGCTACCAGACGACACGAGATCTAACTACATCTAGACATGAATGTAGCTAACCTAGACGGCAACTGCACTAGACATATGTACTGAGTCAACCAGTATTGTTGTTGTGTAATAATGGTGTAAAATGTTAACTACAATTATTGTAGAGCTTCTGCTACCAGACGACACGAGATCTAACTACATCTAGACATGAACGTTGTTAACCTAGACGGCGACTGTACAACTAGACCTATGTACTGAGTCACCCAGTATTGTTGCTGTGTAATAATGGTGTAAAATGTTAACTACAATTAGTGTAAAGTTACTGCTACCAGACGACAAGACATCTAACTACATCTAGACATGAACGTAGCTAAACTAGACGGTAACTGTACTAGACCTATTGACTGTGTCACCTAGTATTTATGAACTTTGGTATTTACCATTCTTCAAGTTTTTGTAAACACTTAAAAATGAGGTGACACTTGAAGGGGGTTTACATTTAAACATTTTGAGCTGCCCCCAAAATCTGCCATTTTTTGGGGACACTCAAAATGCTCAAAACCATAAAATAAAATTTCCTGCAAAGATTGCACGATCACCAAAAGGATATCACTGAATATTTACTTAGCAAAATATTAGATAGAGGCTTGACTTTTTATTAACCCTGGACAGCTGATTTAGGGTTTTATTTTACAGTAAAACCTCGATAACAAGTCACCCTTGATAACAAGGGTCTTTTTCAAATCACCTTGCAATTATTTACCCCTAATTATATGTTATTGCTAACCTCGATAAGAAGTAAACCTTGCTAACAAGTCTTATTTTATACCTATGAGAGTCTTGTTAACAACGTTCTACTGCAGCTGCTCAGCTGTAGTTTCAAACATAAGGTACGTTGGAGGGGATGGAATTTATTTCCTGCAAACTCCTAAATTTTAAAAAGTAGTAGTTTGAAGTAAGGTATGTAAGTAAGGAGTCAAACTTTTTAACATAGAGACAGCCGCTAGAGATGTCTAGACGTATTACTTCTGGTAACGAATCTTTCTGAACATATTGTTGATAACTTTTAGGACGTCGTACTGAGCCCATTGAACTGTATTTATACTTACAATATAGTCAGCTTTAAGCTATATTTAGTGCAGTATTTTTCCTTCAAGTAACGGGACAAACCTACCTAAAAATAAGTCATTCTTGGCATTGACTATTCTAAGACAATACACTGAATACCTTGGTGCCGCAGTTTTACTGTGGAGCCAGCCTGTCACTGCCAACAATTGGCTGGACTTGTAACTATATTCTGACCACATATCAATACACCGATTCAGATATTATCTTGTATAAACATGGGTAGACGTAAAGTTAGTGTAGAGTTACTACTCTCAGACGACACGATGCGACGTTATTGACCTCAACTAACTGGTTTTAGTCACGCACAATCCCAAACTAGAATGTGAGGGTGAAAATCTCTGCACTGACTTTGACACCTATGTTTGGTTAAATGTATTAATTGTACGAGCTTGTGTTTTAATTATCATTGAGATAATGTAATTCATTTGGAAAGATATTGTCCTGATGGAACAAAATCTGCATCTTAATTTTGTATTTTTACCTAAGTCAAGTAGGGATAGAAGTAGGCTTTCACTCTGTAAATGCTTTATTTCCTTGTTTTAACAAACAGCTTTGCGCAACAATATGTCACAGTTGAATTGTTGATGTAAAGTTGCGAAAATATTAAGATGTTTTATTTTAAGATATAGCTTAAGAATCCTTTGAAAATATTACGAAAGCGTTTAGACAAATTAAATTAATAAATCAACGAGAATATCACAAATGTAAAGTAGTAGTATTTTTTATTACTGTCCATACGGTCACAATTGAATGACGTCTTACACTAAAAATCTGTTACAAAAAAGCCATAACTAAATTAAATGAGAATCAAAATCTTAAACTTCCAAAGTATTCAAGACATAGTGTGATTTAAAGTCAACAAGCCCATTATTTTGGTTCCAAACTTAAACTTTTAATAGATTCCTTACCAATACATGACACCCTTCTAAAACTAAAGCCTTTTACTACTCAATATAATTTATTATAGGTATTGTATATTGATACACAAGTTTATGAACTCTTGCATAAAACATGTTGTCAAACTACATTATTGTTTACAAAAATCGTTTTTTAAATCGAATTTATTCAGAACAACTCCCCGAAAAATACACAACCTTTGCGTGCTGCCGTCAAATAAAGGTAGGTTGGAACCCTCCTCATTTTACTGGGAAGTATAAAAGTAGGCCGAAATATTCTGTAGGTCGACAGCTGCAGTTCAGGGAAGAAGAACGATACTGTCAGACAGGGTGCAATCGATGGCTCGTGCTACTGTGGTAGGACGGGGTTAGTTCCATCAGAGAAGGGGTGCAACTCACAGGTTAGTGCTGGGGTTCCTTACAAAAATTAGAATACAATTAGATAATTTAACAAAATATTACATAGATGTGTACAAATATAGAGTATATACAATTCGTAATTACAGTAGTAAAGTTTCAGCTAGTTTTCTTAGGTGAATTAATAATATAAATAAGGTAGAAACTTTTAGCACAATTAATTGTAACAACGAATATACTAAATACGCTTTCTACATGTATACGTTAATTGGAAACATGTTTCAACGATTAATTGTTGTTATAAATAAGTTGTTGTATCGATAAAATAAGTAAGCATTTTTTATTATTATTTATTAATTTATTGAGTAAGGAGTGGATGTATTTTTTGTATCGTAAATCCATTTCGGTGTTGTGCATAATCATGTAATTTTACAATAACAATTTTTTACTGTACAGTTATTTTTGCACACCTCTCAATGAACTTCTGATTATTAATTTAATCTCAAAGGATGATATGATAAAATACTAAAGAAAAGTATTGACCTTTATTTTGAAAAATCCTTTTTCTAAATCAAATTTTAAGTTTTCTTATGTACATAAAATAATAGTGCAGTACGACGTACATAATTTAAATGTATATTAATTTAATATTTCAATACGTAAAAATTTAAAACGAGACAGTTATTGAGATGCTTTATTTTATGCTATTTATTAAGTAATAGTAATTAAATTAATAGATAGCGATCTTTTCGTTTGGTAACATATAGGTCACACAACTTTAATTATTTGTTTTATAAGTTGAAAAATAAGCATGATCAGGTCTCAAATTAATTATTGTTTCTATTGCATCCTACTAATGAGAAGAATAAATGGATCATCCTTAATACAAGTAAAAGAACATGTAATATTAAGTCCAAATGTCAATTACAACTGAATACAAGCTTAGGAAGATATTTAAATTACCAAATAAATTTGTGGATTTTAAATAATCGCTCTAGATATTCTTTTTCCAACCACCAATGAATAGTTTGATTATTCATAACGTGGTATCACTTTAGGAATATTATGATGGTCTTTTGTAATTTTGTATTCGTGATTTATTTACTTGGAAAATATTTTGTAATGATAATCCACTAAATTAATATAATATGTAAAATATATTATCGTTTAAAGCGTTTTGCTTTTAGCATAGAACAATGTAGTCAGCAATTCCCTTTAGTGGCTTTGAATTAAAATCACAGAAAAATCCGGGATTGATGCAGAATTTTTGCATTTCCAACTGTCCAGCAATGCAACACTGTATATTGTTACTTTAGAGGTTGAATTGTTAGGGCATTTCCAGGATCTTGCTGCTCGGCGCAGGCAGATGGGAGCCCAAGGAGACGAGACAGAGCCTGTGGTGTTCAGGATAGCAGAGCAAACCAACAGATTGCTTGAAGCTCGCAGGAAAAAGGTTATATGGAAATCTTAAAATTGCATAAAGCAGTAGTAATAATATGTATTTGCTTTAATCTTGTTCTTGTTAACACTAGGGAAACCAAAACCGAGTCCATGAATGTAGCGTATGTTTTATTTATCTACTTATTATAAGTGTCCTTTTTTCTGTTACCTTAAATCAGTACACTGAAAAATTTGTTTATAATTTTCAGTGTGATCACGTAAAAAAATATAATAACAGCAATGCAACAAACAATTAACAAAAAATGTGTATATAGTTGTATTAAAATACTAAATAACGAAATCAAGCGTTTAAAATGCCACATGCTTATTCTATGCTACAAATGTCAAATGTTATAGTGCTCACCTTCAAATCTGAAGGTCTCTGGTTCAAATCCAAACGATATCGTTTCCAGACCTAGATGCCATTTGTCATTGGGCTATGAATTAATGATGCTATCTAACAAAAAGGTCGACGTTAGGTAACAAGACCAGGGTTTGGCCGTTCCCTTTCAAAACATACAAAATGCCACTGACGTAAAAACACACAAAATGAAAAAAAATTCAACAGCTTTTTATTTATTATTAGATAATTTTGCAATACACAGAGTGCCTACGAATGGCTGCAAGCTATAAAAACATTTGTACTCTACAACTCTTAATCCAGAGTTAACACAGCCAAATCTCTCAATGTACAATACACTCAACATAAGACTGCTACAAAATATTCCATTTAACTACAATTAGGGCAAAATATAATGGGAAAATATCCAATTACATTATGACACCACTGCAACACAATTTCTGGAATGAAATTGAGGTAATTTTGTATTATACCGACCACACCTAATGACACACCTAATAATTATAACCTAACCTAACCTAACGTAAGAGTGGTTAGGTTAGGAAGTAAACTAATTAAAACCTTATTTGGATGTCGATGTATCGGCGTGGTCGGTAACTAGTGGGGGAGCTACAGTAAAAAAACCATAAAAAAACTGCAAATTGTGATAAGAGTATGCCCTTTGGTGGGAATGTAGTGTAAGGTTGGGCAATGAAAATGAGATGGGGAGGCACCTACAAAAGTTGCTATGATAAAAATGGCGGCGTTTTTTCAAAATGGCTGCCCGTATTTTGGGTTTTATATATTTTCTTTTGATATACATCATGCAAAATGGTGTTTCTGATAAATCTTTAGGTTTTTAGGTATTAACTAAGTAAATAAGTTCAGTAATAAGGTAATAAACGTACATTTATTTACAGAAAATGTGTATCACCAAATAAAAAACACGCTATATTTTATAGGTTGCAGAATATTTCCACCAACACCATTTTTAGCCATTTTGCCTATGGGAAAGTAGTTATTACCGTAGGTGGCATGGTAAGACCTAGGCCCGAGATCGATTTACATTTTCATTTTTAAGTCCCCAGAGGCCAAAAACACCATTCGTTCAAATTTGTATATATGTATATATTTTGTGTGTGTGTGTCCGTGAACGCGATAAATTGAGTATTTTTTGTCCGATTTTGATGAAATTTGGTTTGAAGGTGTAAGGCGGAATAAACTTGAATGATTTCGCGAACCAGCAAGATCGGACCATGGGAACGGGGTTTTACGGGGGGTTTTATGGGGTGAAAATTAGTTTCTTCAATTTTTGACCCTCTAAACACAACATGTCCCAATTTCTTTTCAGACCTTTTCAAAGAGCTTAAAAAAACAAATAATTTAGTATATAAAAGTGTTTTTGTACAATAATTATTGGTTAAGGATAAAATTCCAAAAATTGTTATTTTAAAATTCCCATGTTATTCTTATGGAGAATGTTAAAAAATGTTGTAGTTTGCTTGTTTATGTATACATTGTAATCAAACTTGGTAAATTTATTCATTTTATACTAAGTAATTAATATTTTAATAAAAAACGCACTTTTTTACTCTCCCTGTAGCAGCAAGCCTAGGTACTCATCAAGCCTAATGCTAATTAAATACGTTTAATTGAAAATCAACTCAGGCAATTGGAAATTCGCTTAGTATGCAGGTTTGCTGTGGTGGGGGTATTTCTGATTCATTTCATTCCACACAGATATTCATTGAAAACATTTATATCTATATAAATTTCGGTGAGTAAACCATTTCTATCATCAAAGTTCTGAAGTTTTTGACAAGCGTTACATATCCGGTGTTGCAAGCATTTACATTTTTATTATTTGCAGAACAAAGCAAACTATCATTATCTGTCTTTTGTTTTGGCACAGTACAAAAATGGTCCAATCAAAACTTTTGGTTAATATCTACCCAAGTCACTCTGAGGAACTAAGTGTAACGGCTTCGCCATTTTTGGAGTCCAATCTTCATTCACTCGAATCAGAAAAAAATAAAACCCCTAGAACTGGCACCGTGTTAGGCCCGGTGTAACGGCCAAATTTGTACAGGTTTTCCTAATAAAACTTCACTCAGAACGTGAGCGACACCTAATAATAAACACAACAATGACCTGTAGAATCAGCTGTTTGGCAATATTTGTCTATTTAGCATTGCCAACCTTTTTGAGAAAAATAATTGAAAGTGTCATAATTTTGTTGACATTTTTATCCTCTTATATTTTAATGGGAAAAATATCTCAAGGAAGAAGAGGAAACTCTCTTTACAGTGATTTCACATTAATAGCGAATTTCCCTATAGGGAATAATCTATTACCATAGGTCTCAGGGTAAGTCTTAGTCCCGGGACCGATTTACTTTTTCATTTCGATGTCCCTAGAAGCCAAAAACACCATCAGTTCAAATTCATATATACATATGTGTGTGCGTGTGTATCCGTTAGCACGATAACTCGAGCAAAAATGATCCGATTTCGATGAAATTCGGTACAAACGTGTAAACCTACGTTTATTTGAACGAGTTCGCGAACCAGCATGATCAAACCATGGGAACGGGGTTTTATGGGGGGGATTTATGGGATAAAAATTGGTTTTTCTTATTTTTGAACCTCAAAACATAAGATTTCCCAAATTTTCTCTAAACCATTTTGAAGAGCTTAAAAAAATAATTATTCTGTATATTGAAGTGTTTTGTATGGTTATTGGTTACGGGGAAAATTGTAAATTAAAATTCCCATGTTATTCTTATGGAAGATAAGTAAACCGTTGTAGTTTGCTTGTTTATGCATACATTTGGATCAAACTTGCCCAATCCATTTATTTTATACTAAGCTATTAATAGTTTATTAAAAACCACACTTTATTACCCCGTAAGCAGCAAACCTAGGTGCTCGTAAAACCTAATGTTATTTAAATAGATTTAATTGAAAATCAAATCAGGCAAATGGAAATTCGCTTAGTCTGCAGGTTTGCTGTGGCGGGGGTATTTTTATTTACCTTATGTCTCAAAATGGATGCAGGCAAATGTAAAAAACACGTTGTAAATAAAACGTTGTAGGTGAATAATTTAACTCTTAAATAAACAGCTTTTTGGTGACCTTCAGAATTGGCTGAAAACTAGTATATTTTCAGCCTTAGATTATAGACATGATATAATTGTAATGTATTACAAACTTGGTATTAAATTAAAGGCCGGAATCTCCAGATTAAGATTATACCAATATTTAATAGTGTTAATGCCGTTTTCAAGCTTTTATTAGTGAATAACTAAGATAACACAAAATACGGGCAGCCATTTTGAAAAATGGCCGCCATTTTGGATTATAACAACTTTAGGTAATGCCTCCCCATCTTATTTTTGTTGTCGGACCATAACCTACATTCTTACCAAAAGGGGTTTTCTTATCACAATTTGCAGTTTTGATATACGTAGCTCCCCCACTAAACAACAATGTACCGAAATTGAAATTGCAGGAGAACGCGCGGAAGATGGCTCGGCTCATGAAGAACTTCAACTACGACTTGCTCCGTGGAGGGGAGGATGTGGAGAGCGAGGTCCAGAAGACGAGAGCCGAGGACGTGGAAGTGGACGAGGCGGAGGCCGAGAGGCTGCGGAAGTTGAGGGAGGTGGAAGAGGAGATAGCCGCAGGGGCTGTCGTGAGGGAATCCGCCCAACCCAACAAGTACGAGAGTCCTTTGGTCACCCAGCTGAGGGGTGTGGAGGTGAGTGTTTGGGTAATACTTTTGAAAATGTTTGTTAAGTATCTTTTGAAAATTGTAACATTAATCCTAAGATGAAAAATATATTCAGTTTAAAAAATAATAGTGGCATTAACAGCAAAGATGGTTTAGGCTAAAATCATGCATTAGCTTGTCATACACGAGTTTAAATTTTATTTTTTAGCACCATCCGACAAACCACCCTTGCAGATATCTATTCATAATCTAGAACAATTTGTTCATACTGAACTCAATTTAAATAATTTATACTAGTATTTTGACGAAAATATTAATAACGTCTTTTGTTTATTAACAAAGTTAATAATTATTTTCTAAGCTTTTTATCTATGCATTTTTCCAACCGGTTTTTATGAAAATTGGTATGTATTTTTACGTGTTTCAGTTAAAAAAACCTATGTTGTTAGAAAATAAATAAGTTGGTCCGATTCAAAAATTCAAAATGGCTATTATTACAGTTTTTTTGTTTACTTAAATTTCCTACTGAAAACTGACTAATTATATCAAAATGTCATGAACAATTAATTGAAAGATAAAATGCGCATGTATAAAACGGCGTATCTGGTAAACACTGAAATCTTGTCGAAAAATCATTCTTGATATTCTTTTTAGTTCTACCATTTCCCGGTGTTTGACTGTTTACCTAGGAAGATTCTGTAGAAATAATAATAAAATTTCAAGCACTTTTTTACCTTCTCTTTGCTTTATAGTCTTCAGAAAGGTATAAGCTAAGATCTTGGAATAATATCATTAATTTTAAAATTACTTATGTTCATATAAACTATGGATAGTTAAAAAAAACTATATTCTAGACTCTACCTACTATCGACATGTCTATTGCATATATTTCGAGCTCTAAACCTAAAACATGTGCTCGTACAAATAGTTTTCCGTGTTCTTCAATTTAAATTAAATTGTGTCCCGCGTTACAGAGAGATGCTGCAAAAATCTTTATTCATTGGAAAAAAATGTTTATTAATTATTAATCAAATTATTTAAATATCCTAACAGACACTCAATTATTTTTCAGACAGTGGACGAGATGTATAACCTGGCAGATAAGATAATTCCTCTTGTCTCCATCAGGGGTTGAAGCTAAACTGATGTTACCTACACATCGCTTCCTTGCTTTCGTAACATTAAGGGACATCTTATCATGGCAGGAATAAAATAACATTGCTAAATATATTTTTAGCAGATGCTTACTTTACACGTTTCTAAACGGTAAAACACACATTCCGAAATGTTTACTTCTTAACAAACCTTTAAATCTGACTTTGCTTACTTCTAAAGCTTTCAAGTTTAGCGTTCCTTTGTCTACACAAGTTATTTGGTTATGAATTAAGAGTTAACTGATATAGTATGTATTTGATGAAACCTGTATTTTAATTTATCTTCATTTATATGTTTTAGATCCCTAATATATCCATACAGATATTAAATAGCAATGTTATTTTTTTTAGATAATTTCTTCTGTTTATTATAGATATTTTCTTAAAGCTTTCCATCAAATCCTGACTTTGACCAATCTGTGTAGAATTCTGGATGTTTAGATTTTAAAATAGACCCGTTGAACTTATGAATGTATGCCTTGAATCCATAGGAATAAGTTGCATTAATTAAAAGGTTAATCGCAATGTGATGTCATGTATACGATATGCTATCCTTACTTTTTGTGACAGAAATAAAAGTATTATCTTTGCAAACTCAATAAACAATATTCATTGGTTGCTGTTAGTTATTACCCTGTTTATCAACTAATTTTTATAACTACGAACTAAAACATGTTCTTGTTCTCTTTCCAAAATGTTCCATAGTATTCTTGGAGTTGTTTTTTTTTTTATTTTACCATAGCATTTTCTGCACCTTGAAGTATAAATACCTTAAAAGATAGATTTGTATCAGTATTTTGTCTGTGTGTATAAAACTATATTTTTTATTTTAAGTTACAATATATCACAGATTTTCACAATAATAGATGTATCTTGATAGCAAGTTCATTGAGAATTCGGTTCAGTTGATACTCCCCGCTGTTCTTTTCGCCCCAATGATCACTGATCATTTTCTTTGTTCTTAAACTGCTCTTCGGAAACCCCTGGTCCGTGGAGTATTTTGAGTCCGATTTCAAATGGGTTTTATTTCAGTAAAAGTTCAAGTTGAACTCTTCATTTATTTTAATTTTGGGATTTGTGGTGTTTCTACTTTGTGCTTTTATCAATTGTAACGAGATTGATAGTATTTTTGACTTAGGATCCCGTACAACTAGTTACCTGAGTTAAATCGTCTTCGTTAGAGATTTTTTGCAGAAATGCAAAATGAATGCAATAAAAGCATTTTATTATGTGTAATAAAATGAACTTTCTATTAATACTTCGGAAATGTAAAAATATTAAACAATAGTCACCTCAACTAATTTAGAAATAAAGTCAAATACAATAAACTTTTGTAAAATGCTTTGCTGTGTGGTTTGAGTTAATAGTTATTCGTGTAGCTTACACATTATATTTTTGCTACAGTTTCGTTAAAGCATATAAATAATTAGTCTTTCGAACACTCTACAACACGTTTTTAGGTTAGATTAAATCCAAGCGTTGAACAAAATGGGAAACGCTACACCAGTTAATCTTTGTCGTAGGATCTTGTGTTGCCAACGTATTTTAAATCGTACACGAATAACGTGCCTAATAAAGTCGTATTGTTTTGTGTTCTTTGGTTGGAATACTAGAGTAAGGTAAAAAATCTTAAGTAAGTAAAAGTAGTTTGTGTAATTCCTCCTGAACAGCAAACATTTTAGTATGCCAATCAACGATAATTTTTTAATTCTAAACCTAATGAAAATTCTCTCATCACGGAAAGTAACCTTTGCTGTTTTTGTTTGGATATGAATATAAAATATATTTACAAAATATTACTGTTATTCCCTTTTTATCCTGGTAAGGGGTCATAAGAAGAAACTATTCCTCTGGATTCTTCTAAGTCTAACAATAGTTAATGGTCTAATAGTTAATTCTTAGTTAATTTTGATTTAAATATTTAATTACAAATGAAACACATAAATATAACTATACATTAAATATAAGTATGTTTTAACCATGTAGCTGAGAATTAACCTATTTTTCTTTGCTAAAATATTTAACTCTTTATTCTAAGCATCTTTAAAAAATATGATAAAAATCATATTAAATGTTCTATCTATTTCAAATGTGATATTAATGAACTTCAAAATTAAGTATTAAGGGGGATGGCTGTCAGATGTTCTTGAGGTTTTTCAAATTTCGTTCAAAAATAAAAATTGGTGAACGACACCTACTTTCAACCGGACACTGATGTAATGCTTAAAATATGAGCAGCGGCCTGCTGGGAAATGTCAAAATAAGGGAGGAAACTGTTCCGCAATTTGTGGCCATCCTACACTTCTGTAATCATCATTCTGACAATAATGAAAAATTGGTATGAAGAATAGTATATTTGTCAATAAATCAATTTATGGTATAGGTTCAAGTGACTGTCACAAAACTTAACAAATTATTATTTGTTTATTAAAACTAGCTGCTATCCAATGTCTTGCAACTGGGACAGTATGTAAAAGAAACAATGTTTGTTCTTTGAAAATTCCTTTAAAATGGTTTTACATCCACCATTTAATTTAGAAACGAAATGGAACTGTACTAATTAACTTGATAGTAGGTTAAAAAAAAAAAAACTCTGAACACTTATTTAGACTACCTAGCATGATAAAAAGTAGTACCGATACACCCATGAAACAATGGTATGAAGACATACATGATTAAAAATATGATTTAAAAAACTGTAAGTTCTTAACCTATCAGGCAAGATATACTAAGACAGCTTTGGCAATAGCTTACATTCATACAAAGAAATGCGTTTGAACAGAAGTTTGCAAAAGTAAATGAATCATTTTAATTTCATACTGAACTCGTGATTTTATTCAATGAGCAAAACCGCAAATCTGTGTAATTTTATGGAGCTTTATTTAACAGCTTAAATATTACGTGTTATTTTTCCTCTAACGTACCAAAATGGTATAAATGACGAAATATTAAGGAAACCCATACTGTAAACAAACCCCACTACATCCAGGTGCATTTGTCAGTCTACCACAATACATTATTGCATTGCATTAGGATCGATGTAGACAGACAATGTACATAAATAGTCTACATTGCCTAGGAAGGATATAGTAACAGCGGGGTCAGTGACCGACGGTGGCTTAGTTACAGAGTTATTTAGTTACAATGCCATTAGTTACAATGTCATTAGTTACCCTGACAGTCACTAGGACATCGCCTGATGAAGAGACTCGTTAGATAGTTACTTGAAACTGCCTTCCTAGGTCCAGGATAGTTTTGTTTAGTTACCTTTGTTGCATTGAGGTTAAAAGTAAACATTTGTCAGTTAGCTTATACATATATAGTACAATAGGCCTTCTTTGGGTGATGAAGTTTCCGTATAGTATTCTTTCAACTTGATTCTAAAATAAGATTAAAATAGTGATTAAATCGTCAACTGTTCTCAAATAATTTAAATGTAATTTGGTTTAGGTTATGTAAAATTAGGATTTTTGCCAATTAAAGTTATTATTTTATTTAAGTTGATCTTTATTGTGAAGGTATTTTTATCTGTTCTACTACCTGTTACGATAGGAAACACACATTTCAGCAGAGCTATAGTATTTAAAAGTTTTTATAGTTAATAATATAATTATTCTACCTTTAAGTTACTGTTAGTAATTAATTAAAAAACCTATAAAAAATAATCATGTTTTGTTTGACACTCAATTTCTCTTGTCCATTGTGACTAACAATATTAAACATTAAATTCAGTTGTTAATGGATGAAAATATAAAAATTTAAACTCATACCATTGACTTTATTATAAAGTCAATGCTTATACTAAGCAGAAAATAAAAATACACAAGGTATAATTTACACTTACACTTATGAATATTTTTTAATCCTGGACCAATCAGAAATGTCTAATAAAAATAAAATAAAATAATAAATTAAAAATATTTTTTGTTACGCTGAATGGTTTATTTGGCCATTCTAAATTATATTTGGCCACATGGACCATTAGTTAGTTCCCTGATGACAAATACAACTGAGTAAGACATGCGATACTGCGTAAAGGTCTGACATCTCAAATCACATCGCTTACTTGGCCTACTTCCTCACTTACATTGTATAGAAAATATTTAAATTTTTTCCATATCTATTGAAATACAAAATGGTTTTTAATTTATTTTAATATTTCTAAAACTTTCATGAAATTGTTACAACTGGTATTTTTTTTTATAATTGTAAGTTATTTAAGAAATAAATTATTTTTGTAACATTAGTACCTTCCGGGGAAAAACATTAGTCTGACAAAACAAAAGACAGGTAATATAATAACTATTACGTAAAACCTTTTGAAAATGTTTTATCGGTGTTTAATTTACAGCCATTTCAGGATGAAGCACATGAAGGTACTAAGATCTTCCTTCTTTGAATTAAAGAATATTTTTTGATAACTAAGGAATTAATCATCTGACATTTTAATTAGCCTTGAGGCTTCTTTCGTCTATGATGGTGAACCACTGGGCCGAGAATCTCGTCAGCTAGGTCATAGAGTTCATTGACTGACTGAAACAATACAATATAGTGTTAGAATATTTGTATCAGTTTTAAGTCTGTTGTTAACACCTTTTTTGTCCTAAGACGCGAGGCAAGAGCGTTGTGTAAGAGCATTGTTTTTCACATTACTTCAGACTAAACCTAGGGGTTGCGGCATTATCACTTATAAAATACGCACGGGGATCTTATAGTGGTCAGTTGAAACCTTCCTATATACAGAACAGCAGCTGGTTTGCATATTTTCAGATATGCTGGCCAAACTATTATATACAAACAAATACAGTGTATCTGGCTGTTTCAAGTAATAAAATGCGTAATAGATCTATGAGGGGTACACTTCCATATCTGTTGGCACAAACAACCAAATGAGTAATATTGATTATTCGATTGTTTAATTCGATATATCGTTTGGTTAGTTAAGTTAGGTTAGGTTAAGCTTATCTAACTAACCAAACTATATATAGTTAAAATACTATACCTCAACCTTGCCATTAAACATTCAGGTTGGAACTTTTACTATCAAAGGTGCTCTTGTCCTGTCCGTACGGAACACTGAGAAATATGCGCTACCAACTTATGAATAATTGTTTTGGCCTACGAACCCAAGAGATGGGAAATTGGTCTATTGGCTGTATGGTCCAGCGAGCAGCACATAGCGTTGAGGAGACACATTGGAAAAACGATTTGAGCATAACCCGTAAACCTCTGTTACATTCACCCACTGCAGTTGTTACTTTACACTTTACTCACACAGCCACCATTGAAGTGCCATCAATGAGTTGAAACCTTTTATGTAAGCTATTGGTAACGCTTATGTAAAAAATGTTTCCCAGCCATATACAACACTGATTCAAGGTCTTTTTCCCGGTTATCAAAACTCTTATACACGGAACAATTTTATACACAAAGAATCTCTATTTTCATTTACGGTTACCCTACAAATTATTGCACTTGCGATTAATTAAATCCGTTATGTAGGGAAAAATGGTTTTAATCCAACTTGGTTTGGATTTGCTTTTGAAACGTGATCGGAGATGATTGCGGTATTTGTAAACAACATTCAATGTAAACATATCAGTGACAGCTAGAGA